GTTATATTTTGGTAATAACTTCGTACGACAATTTATGCTAACTATTTAAAATTTTTATCAGGGAATTGAACCAAACCAAATTGAAAAAAATTGATACGGTGCTGGTTCGTTTCCATTATTAGAAATAATTGGTTTAGTTTGGTTGCGAATTGCGATTATCTTCGAACCAAGCTACAGGGAACTATACCTATTGCTAATGTTAAAAAAATATAATATATTTGCATTTTTATTTGACTTTTTTCCCAAATTATTACATTCTGTCCATGTTTTATAGAGATTAAAATCAATAATTAATTTTAAGCACATATTTCATAAGATCTACAACTTTTTAATCACAAATTTCATCAAATTTTATTAAAATCTACTACAAATCAGATCTCCCAAACAAGAGCTTAATATATTTATCAGATTAACCTTTCTAATTTTTATTAAAAATGAATAAAATCGATCCAAAACTTCAATAACAAAAAAATAAAAATAAAAAGTAATAACTTTGATTTTTATAGTGTTAATTACCCCAATAGTCACTGAACTTTACTGAAAGTTTCCACCAGGTCACTGTTTGTCACTGAACTTTTGAAACTGCAACCACATCCATCACTAAACTTTAAAAATCACCTCATTCGTCGCTGAACTTTGCAGAAGATTTCTACGGGGTCACTGAACTTCAATGACCATCTGGAAAACTTTTTGCAAAGTTCAGTGACCATCGGGAAAACTTTTTGCAAAATTAAGTGACGAATGAAGTGATTTCGAAAGTTCAGTGATGGATGGGATTGCAGTTTCGAAAGTTCAATGACTAATAAAGTAGTTTTTAAAGTTCAGTGACCTGGTGAAAACTTTCGATAAAGTTCAGTGACTATTGGGTTAATTAACTCATTTTTATGCATCATCAAATTTTTAATATACTTTTTGTACTACAAAAAGAACATTTTAAACCCAATATAATATAACTTCTTACCTTGGGGATGAAAAAAAGTCCCATCCCCATCTTGACTATTATTTCTTATTTTATATATTTTTAAAGTTAAATTGCATTTTAAAAATTAATACCCTATTTGATTCACATTTTTTCAAAATTCATTCTTTCAAAACTCATTTTCAACCACACATTCTTCAATAAAATAATATTTTTCATCACATCCAAAAATTTTCCTTATTTTTTAACCACACATTTTCCATCGCATCACTATTTAAAATACATTATTTTCTCAATAATGTGTATCAAACATTCCTTAAATAAGTAAGAGGTGGTAAACGAGAATACTTTAATATTACCCTACCATTATCTAGCCATGTTCATGCCTATTGCCCAAGTCCTTGTCGGATAAGGGACGAGCCCCAGTTCACCCGTCATGTTGCAGTCCCTGTAACTATTATGAGTACATAGATCAAATAAAGATCGAAGAAAATATATTTTTATTCAAGATTATAATAAATTTAATAATATGTATTTCAATTAAAAAATTCTTTAACAAATGAGAAACATAATTGACAAAGAAGGATAGTATAATAGTACTCAACAATAATTTTATTATATATTATAAATATTGACATATGAATCAATATAACTCCACTCGTTTTAATTATTACAAACAATACACGTATGTTTCTA